TGGAAATGCAACTTCTCTCCCCATTACATTGCAATGGGATGTGTGCATAATTAATCTTTAAATAATTTCCCCCCAAGTAAAGACTTTAGGATTATTCTTAGCTGTAGTGTTGAAGAGTTACATTTACTTTTATCTATAAATGCTTAGTATAAAAATGGGATGGATAGCAAGAAACATCGACAGCTTTTCCTACTAACTTTTGCCATTTAGATCTTCACTTTTGTGTGTGTCAGGAGCGACTTGGGAAACACAAGTCACTTCTGGTCTGAGAGAATTGGCCATCTGCAAGGACGCTGCCCAGGGGATGTCCCCACATGAGAAGCTGGAGCTGATAGACAGGAGGTCACCCTGCTTCCTGGATTGGAACCACCGACTTTTCGGTCAGCAGTCCTGCCGGCACAAGGGTTTGACTCATTGTGGCACTGGGGACTCCCTTCACTAAAACAATCTGTTCCTCATGAGGAGATTATTTTTTAGCCACTGGAAGCTGAGTGTAATGAGTATAATGAGTGTAATGAGTATCGGATTGGCCTTAATTTAAATATGTATGATTGTCATATAGTATTTATATGGTTATAATGTTTCTGTATGTTTTTATGTTGGTAAGTGCAATGCTTATCATGCTGGAAACCACTCTGAATCCCTTCGGGGAGGTAGACTGGTATACAAATAAAGGTTATTTATTATTATTCCTGAAAATAAACATCAATATTGGTAAAGGCATTCTGGAACAGTTGTTCCCATGCTCCTCCAAATGTTCTGAACTTCAGTTCCAAGAATACAAAGTCATTAAGATCAGGGATTCTGGAAGTTGAAATCCCAAATCGCTGCAGGACCAAAGACTGGTTTGAAGTATTTATTTATTATTTATTTCTTTAGGGCATTTATATCCTGTCCTATCTCACCTCAGGGCGGCTAACAACCGGCACAACACAGTGACTACAACAAGAAAAGCATAAATATGCATAATATAATAAAAACAATATAAAAACATTAAACACAATGCCTTAGCTAGAGAGGGTTCAATAAAATAGACATATAATCCATAAATCTTCACAGACACTTAGGATTCATCTGATGAAGAAAAACAACCTACAAACTATTGACAGTCCCACTAAGAAAATCCAACAAATGCTACGTTCAGCAAAAGACAAGAGGGATCCTCTCACTTCTGCAGGAGTCTACCGTATACCATGCAGCTGTGGACAAGTCTACATAGGGACGACCAAATGCAGTGCCCAAACACAAACCAAAGAACATGAAAGGCACTGCAGACTAGCTCAACCAGAGAAGTCAGCCATAGCAGAGCACCTGATGAACCAACCTGGACACAGCATATTATTTGAGAACACTGAAATGCTGGACCGCTCTAACAACCACCATGTCAGACTACACAGAGAAGCCACTGAAATCCACAAACATGTGGACAATTTCAACAGAAAGGAGGAAACTATGAAAATGAACTAAATCTGGCTACCAGTATTTTTAAAAACCCTAAAATAAGGACAGCAAATAAAGAACATCACTCAGAAAACAGGGGAATTCCAGGAAGGAAACAATTAGGACCAGCTAATACCTCTCAACAAAGGATTCCCCCAGGCAGAAAACAGCCAGGCTTTGAAGCTGCAATTCAATGCTAATCAAGCTGGCCAAATGAAATATTCACACTTGCCTCCAACAGACCAGAGTTCTTTCTCCCACCCTGGACATTCCATAGATATATAAACCCCACTTGCCTTGTTCCCAACAGACTTCACAACCTCTGAGGATGCCTGCCATAGATGTGGGTGAAATGTCAGGAGAGAAAACTTCTGGAGTATGGCCATACAGCCGAGAAAATTCACAGCAATCCATGTAATACACACTTTCCTACTTTGCAGAAAAAGCCAATAGGATTTCTGAGTAACTATGTACAGAACTGCACTGCTAATTCACAGATCATTTAAAGTATGTTTAGTAAAAAAAATATATGTTTACAGATTAGAATGAAATCACTTTTGAGGAACAAAAATACCAAATAAAAAGTTTGCCCACTGATTATGATGTTTACTACAATATATGTGTGTTAGGTTGTGGAAGTTATTCCTTGTGCACAGATTTTAACAGCACACGAAGGAATACAAAGTAGCCTTGCAAGGAATTAAAATAATATTAGCTAATAAATGTTTACAGGAACAGCATTTGCATGGAAGCCATGCCGGCAGTTTGTCAGAGGGCTTCAGCACTGCCTTGTTGCCATCAATGGTGCAACCAGTCCTCAAATCAAATCAGTGGTTTCTACGCAAAAGGGTTCAATGAAAACATGTTGAAGAAAGAACCCTATATCTAACCATTGCATGGGATCCTTTTTTCATGAGGTACATGCATTGAGGAAAAAGATTAGGAAAGGTAGGCTATTTTTCTTCATCTCCAACACATGTTTCTTTTGGGCAAAGCAGCAACATGGTTGAAAGAATTACTGAGCCTCTAATCTCTACAATTGGTATTTGCTTGCAAAATTTGCTGAGAGTGCCAATCAAACAGACAAGAGTTATTTCTCCCACCCTAGGCATTATTCCACAGTTATATAAACTCCATTTTCCTAGTTTCCAACAGACTTCACAATGTCTGAGGATGCCTGCAATAGATGCAGATGAAACGTCAGGAGAGAATGCTTCTAGAACATAGCCTACAGCTCAGAAAGCTCACAACAACCCAGTGATTCCGGCCATGAAAGTCTCAACAATACAGTGTCAATTTTGTTTTGTCCTTTTTGATCAGAGCATAGTGTACTAACTTTTTTGTTGTTCTTTATTATTATCCCCTTCCTCATGTCATAGTTCTCCTAAATTCTTTGCAAGAACATTTTCTAAGGGGTGCTGCCAATTACAAAAAACTTACAGTAAGACCCCCCCCCCCCCCCCCCCCCCCCCCCCGGCCTCTGGCCATAAAACAGTAGGTATTAACACTATTATAATACCTCATTTTGGTCACAGCACACCATAGAATTGTGTCAAAGGACCTAGAGGTCCAGTTCCAGGGGAGTATATGACTGAATGCCCCAAATAACCTAGCAAATTCCTAGAAACATGCACAGATAAGTGAACCCATGGATATGGGTTCTGCAGTTGCAGGATTTGTTATATTCTTTTGCTGGGATTGTCTCACTCTCACTACTGCTATTACTACTACTACTACTACTACTACTACTACTACTACTACAAGAAAATAGTTAGATTTTTGAACTTGCTGCCCATGGTTACTATTCCAAGCCACTCCGCCTTATTTTTGAGTGGGCATACATGGTGTGCAGCACTGATTCTCACTATGATTATTGGGAAAATATGCAAAGGCAGGTAGTTGGCTGGAAACATGCACAGTAGATCTGCAAAACAGTCAGTTCTGGAATAATACCAAATGCTGTTTTTCTATAAACCTCAGCAAACAACTTTATCAGTCATACTATTGTGACTCCATTCCATACATTCAGCTTTGCTAGCCAGTTCTCTCAGTAGCCACTTCTTAAAGATTGCATAGACGCTAGGGTCTATTCCACTTTACTGTGGTGTAATAAAGGAGAACCAAATGACCAAAAAAGGTGTGGTTGGCAAAACAAACAAATAAATAAAGATGAGGCAGATCAGAAGTTGATGAAAGAAATGCTTACAAAGTCAGTGTAAGTAAAAATGACAACTCTGACCTGAATCTGTAAAAATATAGTAAAGATCATTCAACTCCTCCAAATGCATGGACTATTTCAATAGTCACACCACATACAGAACACTTGGCAGTGGATACAGGAGTCATACAATTCTTTTTGTAGAATGAGCAGTGCTATTCAGTTGACGTAGGGAAACAAATCTGATCACAACCTTGTATAACTTATAATTAACTAGAATAACGAGGGCAGAGTTCACTATTTACTTTCAAATATCTCATTTTCATCTACTGTGAATAAATCACCCAGATACATAAAACTTTTCAACAGGTTCAATATATTCTACCTCCTTCCTTAAACAGTAAGTATCACTAACAAACATTAATCTCCAAAAGCCATTTGCAATCCTATGTCTAATCTGACAACTAACAGGTTTGAATTCTTTGAACCAATCATCTATTTTTCATTCATTTTCTGCTCAAAAGCATTCAAAATATTCAAAAATCTTTTAAGAACAAACAATGCAATTTAGAGAAACATGAAGTTCAGTTGCAACAATTCCCTTACAATACTAAATTTCAACTTCAATAAGGGTTTGTTTGTTACTTGCAAATCGATTAACGTTAGTGTTTCAGATTTTGTGGAAGGAACCTACAGAAATAGAAAAGCTCTGTCATGAAAATTTCTGCATTAAACAAATGGAAGACAAGAAAAACAACAAAAATGTGGTGTAGTTGTTATGCTCATCCTTGCATAATCTGAACATCTAATATGTCTTGATCAGTCAACACAACTTAATCACCAACAATGGAACTTTCAAAATCGCCCAGTGTCAACTCAACACAAAACATTATTCAATGGAGACACATTCAGCTTCAAGTTTACAAATTGAGACATCAAGCAATGAACATGCCCAGATAAATCAATCTTGACGTGACCCTAGGATTTAGGGACAACGTAGGCATAAGTATGCAAGTATTTTGACTGGAACAAACCATTTCTCTCAGACATAGAATTTACACACATTTCTCCTGTTCAAAGCCTGTTTGCATGAAAAAAATTTAATATATTATTCCTTCTACAACCTTGTTTTGAAGTCATCAAATACAATGGACCTTAAGAAGTTAATTTGCATCCACACACAATATAAAACCCCTTTTCTGGTATAAATAAGCAATTCCACTGGGGGGGGGGGATTCTCTCTTATTCTTTGAGTACTAACAAAACAACAGGACAATCAAAGCAGCTACAACCAATTTACCACAGCACCCATTTTGATATGAACACAGACAAATAGTTAGACCCAAATACTGTTTTAAAAGTGCTAAACAAATAAAAAAACAACAGAAATGCAAGACCTTACATCAGATTTCGAGGACATGTTCTCCTCCATGTCGGAATCGTTAGGGTCCACAATATCATCAAAAGGCGGTAACGTGTTTTTCTTCTTCTCCAGTGTCTCACTTTCCATTTTGACTTTCCCAATCTTAAACTGAGATTTATCCTTTGTCTGTTTTTTATCAGCAGTGGAACAAGTAAGTATAAGTGGGGGAGCATGAGAAAAACTTTTAAATAAAGCCTCTGAGCCGCTTTTCTTCTTCTTTTTGGCTGTGAGATCCTCAGAATCCATGCCAGGAGGCCTTTTTGTAGGGGCCTTCTTGTCTTGTTGCTGTCCACCTGCGATGGTAAGTATGTTATTTTCAGATTTTGGCTCTTTTGACATAGGTTTGGGTTCCTTGAAGGCCATCTTAGGAACAATTTTTTCATCCTTCAGCGGTTTGTTTTCTTTGGGTTTCTTAGAGGATTCTTTGGAAGATTTTATATGTTCCCTGGAAGGTTCTTTGAAGGCACTTCTATGTTCTTTAGAGTCTTTAGGCAGTTTCTCCTTGTGCTCCTTTGTTAATTTATGGGGTTTTGAAAAACTGTTACTACTGTTGCTGCTAGTGCTTACACTTTTGCTTGGGTCCTGCAACAATAGAAATCACAAAGTTAAGAAGTGGTCTAGTCTTCTATGTTTCAGGTGCAGATATTAAGACATTGAAACTTCTATCTACAATTGACAACTAGTGTGAAAATAGCATAACAATAAAAGAGTAGAGTGGAAGGCATTACTTGGATTAAAGAACAATCATAGAGAAAAGACTAAATAATAGTGGAAATACAATACAGTGTTTCCCTGCTACTTTGCGGTTCGCTTTTAGCGGACTCACTGTTTTGCGGGTTTTTGAAAATATTAATAAAAATATTAAATATTAAATATTTACAGTGGTGGTCAGGGATGCCAGGGACCCTGGAAGTGCAGCGGCCTGAGGCGTGGTGGGGAAGGCCTGCCTCCCTGGCCTGCTGCCGCCTGCGTGGCTCCCAAGGCTCTGCAGAGGCCAGGGAGGCAGGCAGGTGCCCTTGGGATGGGCTGGGAGGTGGGCAAGGAAGCGCGGGTAAGAAATTAATATATAAAATAGTGTATAAATATTAAAATTAATATGGCGTCGCTACTTCACGGATTTTCATTTATCCGGGAATGAAACCCCCGCAATAAGTGAGGCAACACTGTAAGAGTACATTTTACTAGAGATATTAAAGAATAAAGTTCACTAATCTCCAAAATTAAATTACAAAATATCTGCAAAGTAACAAATGACAAGTAAACTCAAGGTTAACATTCTCTTCATAGAATGAAATAGTTAATATTTTGATATGAAATCTCACTACACATCATCATCATCATCATCATCATTTATACCTCATTTTTTCCTCAGGATTGAGATCCAAAGTGACTCAGAACTTAAAAAGCAATACAATTAAAAACATACAGAAGGTAAATATTAAAATACAAGTTACAAAGTCATGATTTGCAAGACTGGTCAATGAAAGTGTACACATATCTTTGTTCCTGGTTCTCAGGAAGAAAGTGGAAGTATCAAATATCTTTCCTTTGTGCCTATTTTAGTTACTTGAAAGATTTAAAAGTAAATGCACATGGAGAGCCAGTATGGGCAGTGATTTGAGCCTTTGCCCCATCAGATTTGCCTTGGGGTCGCCATAAATTGGTAACTATTTGAAGATGCACAACATGAGGCTATGAACCACACTAATTTAAAATAAGCCTTTAGAACTACACAAATCCAAAAGAAATGTGTACCAACAGAATGGGATTTCTGTTGAAAGAAGCAATGCTACCTGTAAAGGAGATGCGTATCACAATTCGGATTTCACTGTTTTTTGAAAGAGAAGCACACAGCTAGCTTAAGGACGTCCTATAAAATTTACTCTGTGGAATAATGTATTTATTTTGGGTGTTTTTTGGGGGGAAAGGCAGCTATACCCCAAGGAAGCAAAACCATAAATGTACTGCAAAGTTGCTTTTCCAGGATACACAGCAAGGTTCACAGAAAGTACTACAACTGGCCATTTTTCAAAAATATGGAAGTTTATTGGGAATAGGATTTTCAACATTTTTTGCAACCTATGTCACATATTCAAGGAATATGAAAATGGCATTATATGCAAATGGCATCTTTAGTAGTGATACCTACAAAATTTATTATTTAATGCAACTGGATGGATTCAGATCATCTACAAACTGCAAAGATCACTTTCCAGTGATCTAGAGACTGCTCTTCTTGGAATACCACCCTAAAGTAGTAGCTCACGTTGGCTGTACTGAGAGATAATACTAAATTGTGGTTTCAGCACTACAAGAATGAACCTTAGGGAGGTTCAGAGATGGATCCACAATCCTGAAATCTCTGGTTAAAGGATTTCAAATAGAAAGGTTAGAAACTACCTTTGTCTGAGATCGAGAGAGCTTCTCCCTATCAAACAACACTGGGCTAGATGGATCAGTTCAATTGTTTTACTTAATTCATTGCCCGACTTACCGGGCAARGCCTGTTGCGGTGGGGGGTGCCCTCCCTCTGGCCATGTTGTTAGCAGGGGCTTCCCTTTCCCAAAAGCCCCTGCGTTGCTGGAAGTTTCCCGCCACTGGATCAGCTGGCCAACCAGAGGCTAGCTCCACCCAGYTCCTGGCATTGGCCAGGGGCCGGTTGCACCCTGTGCCCAGCAGCTTTAAATAGGCTGCGCTGGGCCCAGCAGGCACCAGGTCTGCTTATACTAGCCATTCCCTGCTACGTGTTGCTGTGACCCAGTCTGTGTATATGTGCATTGTGTGTGTATATGTGTGTGTATATATTTGTGTATATGTGTATAAGCATATATATGTGTGTGGCTTTGGACATGCGTTGTAATCTCCCATTCCAACACCTAAGTAAATTCAGATGCAAACAAAAATATACTATAGTATCTATATATCCATTGTGGCTATATTCCAATATCCTTGTAGACACCTGAAACCATAGATAAAAGTGAACCCTTTGAGTATAACTGGACTAGAAGATAACACAGAACCACACTGGAAGACCAGGACAGGCCTACACAATATACGGCCTTCCATGCTTAGGCCTCCAACTAGCCCAAAATACCTGGAGGACCAACAAGTGTGCAAGCTTGACCTAGAGAGACCCACAAACATTTCCAGGTGTAATATAGTTTGGAATATGGGTATATGAAACTGTGGATATCAAATCTGTGGAAAAGGGAGTTGTAATGTTTCCTCACATTATGGAAACACAGATGTCCATAAGAAATCGTACCATAAACATACTGTCCGTCACTTGCTTATGTCTGATAATCTAAAAGACTGCCTCTTCCTTTTAGAAAGATTGAGATCATCTTCAAGAGGCTTTGTTATACATGTTCTGCCTTCAAATATGTTTTGACTTGTAGAGACACAAGACAAAGCCTCTTCTGTTGTCCATCCTGATTATGGAATTCCATGAAGAAAGAAAAGGCTAACTCAACCACTAACAGCAATTACGTCTGCGGTAAAAGCATTTTGCTTGGCTTTTAGTGGTTTTGACATTTTTAACTTTAGATTTTTATGTGAGATATTTAGTTTTAGTATTATTATTGTTGAATTGTGTGTGTGTGTGTATGTATGTGTGTGTGTTTGTAAAAGGTAAAGGTTTTCCCCTGACATTAAGTCCAGTTGTGTCCGACTCTGGGGTGTGGTGCTCATCTCCATTTCTAAGCCGAAGAGCCGCCATTGTCCGAAGACACTCCTAGGTCATGTGGCTAGCATGACTGCAAGGAACACCGTTACCTTCCCGCCGGACCAGTACCTATTGATCTACTCATATTTGCATGTTTTCGAACTGCTAGGTTGGCAGAAGCTGAGGCTAACAGCGGGATTTGAACCGGATTTGAACCTGCGACCTTTTGGTCAACAAGTTCACAGCTCAGTGCTTTAACCCACTGCGCCACCAGGGGACCTATCTATCATCTATCTATCTATCTATCTATCTATCTATCTATCTATCTATCTATCTATCTACACACACACACACATACATATTAGAGCTGAAAAAGAATATGAATGTGATTTTTAAACAAAACATATGCAAAATCACTGCCATCTATCCACATTTTACACATACTTAGAATATGACAGGGAAGTAGCTTTAAATTTCTCCCACTCCCTTAAGTATCCTACTATGCAAATTTTCTATGAATTAAATAATATAGAGTTAATGGCACCACAGGATTAAAAAGACCAGACTCCCTGAAATACAATCAGGACCACATTTCTGAAACGGCGACCTTGCCATTTCATCTCATCTTTTGGGAAGATGAATTTGTGCTAGATTAAGAACAATGAATATTGCTTTAAAGATTATATTACCAATTCCTGATGTCATTAACTTAACAATTAGAATATCCTTCCAATGTAATATGAACCAAAAAAGCAGGTGCAGCAAAGTACAGTACAAATAATAATAAAAACATATTTACAATATTTTAAAAAACTAAGACAAATGTATTAGAAGGAGTAAGAATAGACTCTTTAGATGGGAGTTCAATTGGCCAAGTACAGCCATCAAAAAGGCTTACTCCCTAGTCCCAACTAGACATAGTTCAGGGATTGTTTGGACACGAAGATGAACTCAATAGGTGGGCAGATTTGTATGGAAGAAAACAATCCTTAATTGGTCATAAAACACTCAAGGCCTTAAAGGTCATCACCAACACTTTGAATTACACCCAGAAACAAACTGAAGGCTCCTGCAGCTCTTTCAACAGGGGAGTCACATTCCATTATCACAGCTTTGCAGACGACGGAACATAAACCTTAATTACTGCAGGGTTTAATTTCTGATCATATGCTACTCATTAGATCATCAACTGTAAAGCTATGTGGTCAGAAAAAAGCATAAGGGAATTGTATCAGAGACATTAATATTCTATATCTGCTAGATGCGGTTTTTTTATTGCACAGAAGTATAATAGTTATAGACTATACGATTTTTTTAAGCAAACAAGTGGAAAGAAATCCCAAATGTTCATGGGTCATAAATCTATCGCTGAATGATGATTAATTTCTCTGATTTAGGTATTGTGTTGAACTTGTTACTTCTTGGCTCATTGGCTACTTAGAATTCAGAGCTGTCACTCAAGACACACCCCCATATCGAACACCAGGGCATGTCTCACCTTTGCCCCATGAGATGATTTCTTCTTCACTTCAGAAAAAGACAGGGAATTACTGGGAAGGTTGGGGAGGTGAAGACTCTGCCCTGAAGCAGCTGATGTTCCATCTGACATTACCATGATCTATAGCAAAAGGGAATTCAAAGTATTAGTAACGTTTATAAAATAACCAAGGCTAAAAAAACAAGGGCTCTTTGGAAACGTACAAGTAAATACCATGAACAATGAGCAACTCTGCTGGTTACGTTCAACTGATAACATTAGTTTTATTACCATTATTCTATCTTTGTCTTAAATTGAAAAGACAGATACAATGCTGCTAGAAGCCCGGAAACACTGGGGTTGTGATGGGAGAAATTTGAGGAAAATATTATGAAGGTTATTAATTTGATTAGAGGTGGGAGGATGTTAGCTTGATTTCCTCATACCTCCAAGCATACGGTATATCACAGGGCCAAGATGTTTTTGTTTTCATTTTTTACTAATCCTCTTAAACTTGTATCCCAGAGAGCTCCCGTTTAAAATTTAACACATAAACAGTAACAGCTCTACAGGTAATCATGCCGTTAAATGCCACAATCTTTTATAATCCAGAATCACTCCAAAGGAGCCCCTCTATGCTTCCATCATGTATAAACACAGCCCCACAAGCACACAATATTGTAATAAAAAAGGAAAATGGAGAACATTGAAACTGACAGTGTGCACACAAAAAAAGATCTTTAAAACTGCATAAAATCTGTGTTTTTTGTTTGAAAGTAGCATGAAATTTTACTCCAAGTGTTCTTTTATTTAGAACAAATGCAATTAATCATACAATGTATTTGTAATTCAAAGTCACGCATTATTTTGTGGTTGAATGCATATTTCCTTTTAATATAGTTTACAATACATAGTGAGGCATCCAAGACAGATGCTAGGGCTTCTTGAAATACAGAAATCTAGTGAGTAAAGTTGTGCGTGAATCTATTTTAGCTGTTTTCCTTCGGCCAATCCAGCTTCTTCAGCTTGGTTGGATGGCCATAATGGCAAGGGGCCAGTCTTCATGGTTTCCCGTCCATAATGGGACCATGTGGCAGTCGACCACGGCTCCTCCTCCCCTTTTCGGGAGCATGTAGCACACAAAAGAGACTGCCACCACATGCTCCTCCTTGCACGGATTTTCCCTGTAAGCCCTGCCTGTTGGGCCAATTGGAATAGAAGACTGACATGTCTGCTTCCTTAATCCCATTGCTGAAACCCTGGCTCCCCTTGAAGGGAAGAAAGGAAAGGATCCCAGGAAGGATGCTTCCTTAACCTCGTTGCTGAAACCCAGGCTCCCTTGAAGGGAAAAAAGGAAAGGGTCCCAGGAACGGAAAGGAGAGCCTCGTAAGTTCCCCATTGCCACCAATGGGCCAGATCTAGCCATATTTTTCAGGTGCAGACCAAAAAAGGCTATCTGGCTATCTGCCCGTTTTCGGGAGGCATGCAAAAACAGATATGGGGGTCTACCGAAATCTGACCAGCAGAAACGGATCAAGATTTAGCCAAAATGCACAAATCTATTACTGAGCTCTCTGGTATATCTGCCAAGACTGCAGTGAAACTTTGCTACACAGAAGGACTCAATTGGTGGTGGATGGTGTAACATCAGAAAACTCAGGATTGCGGGTCAGCTGTACTCCTGGATACCCAGGAGTGTGTTTGTACATATGAGGCTAGTGAACCAACTGTTCTTGTTCACTGGGATATCTGAACTGGCTATGTGCCTCCTTACATTATGTTTAAGATTATTCTAACATGCTTTATATGGCGAAACCTTCCAAAAGTCAGCTACACTGGATGGGACTGTTGGGGATTGTAGGTCAAAACATCTGATGGATCAAAGGTTTATTATTCCTGCCATAAGTGGTCCTGACTAATGTTCGTTTCAGAAACCTTTCCATTCCCAGTTCAATGTATCCTTCTACTCCAATGTTTCTGAAGTACTGCACAAGGTCCAGAGTTTGAGAGCACAGATAGTTCTTACAATACCAGTTAACTATGGGATTTGGAGTTCATAAGAGATTTTGATCCCAACCCAAAAGCATTAGATTCCTCTTTGTTTTCAGTTGTGGCCCCTCAATCCATTAATATGCAGAACAGTAATTTCAAGAAAGAGGGGATTATTTCCTTGACCTTATTTTTATGCTTGCCTGAGAAGTTTCTGTACCTAAACGATTCCTAGAGAGTATCTATATCATGGTTCATCATCTAGCATGTGTCTGGGATTGGGTTAAGCATACCTAATGTATATAAAATGAATTTATACAGTTTTTCCTCACTTATCACGGGTGATATGTTCCAGGACCATCCGCAAAAAGTGAAAATCCAAGAGGTAGGGATGCTATATATGTATATTGAGTTCCGAGGGTGAAGCAGAAGCAATGAGAGATTTAAAGGCACCACACACTTTTTTTTGCCAGCTATCTCTGCTTTGGTTTACAATCTCTCTTGATTGGCTGCCTCTCTCCCGAGGGGGAGGTTGAAACCCCCTTCCACACTCCATTATTGCCAGGAGGCGGGATTAGAACGCCACTCTGGGCAACAGCAACCATTCATAAACTGGGAGGCAAACACCCGTGAAACAGCGAGTCTGCGAAAAACAAACCGCAGAGTAGCGAGGGAACACTGTATATGAGACCTACATTCCAGATAGCATTTTTATTATGTCTAAAACATTAACACGATTTTACTTTGTTGCTTTTGCTGTGGAGAATGTCCTCTGAATGCCTTAAAAACAATAAGCAAAACCCAAACAAAATGTACTCTCCTGGAGGCAGGAAATCCTGTACTTTGCCACAACCACAGCGAGCAATAAAGTATGAAGAAGTCTTTCAAAGCCTTTGTTTTTTGAGAAAGACACATGGTGCAAAACATACCGATGATAAATATTGAACAAATTTAGCAAGCTTTAAAATGGTTTCTGGTCTTGAGTCTGAGTCAGAAGGCATCCCATTTAGTGGCTTTATTGCGTAGGGTCAAGGCAGTTTTCCTAAGCCTCTTTTGCTTTGACAGTATAAGCAACACTCCAAAAAAGTGGACCTGGGTGATGAACTGGCAGAGAAAGCATTCTTAGCATTATTTCAAGACAGACTATTTGTGAATGTCATTTATGCAGGAAAGGCAGTGCATGTATACATGCATTCATCTACCTGAAGAAGTTAAAAAAATAGACTCAAAGGCCCTGTAGGACAGAAGCATGCCTTTCTTTCTATCCTTTTCCTTTTACTTACAGAGCTCTGAAAACATCCACGTATAGTGATGGCAATTATGGTTGCACCTGCTATTTTCTCTTTTGTTCTGCTTTTTTTTTTTTTGTCTGAAGCAGGAGAAGTCGCCCAGAAAAGTAAAAATCAATTACTAATGAAAAAACCACAGAAAACAAAGGGTACATTTAAGTGTCACTTGAGAAAATGGGCCTTAGTTATGTATCAGGTATCTAACAACACATCTGACAAGCAAAGATCAGGGACAGGAAAAAAGCAATTTGACCTTAAGCAAACTGGTAGCAGCAACTAGTATCTTTTCATTGGTGCAGGACAGAGATCTTCTAGGGAAAATATTAACTATGTACAACTTCTCTGATACTACTATCTTTGTAGTGGGGGAAATCGAATCCAGTTTTGCAGCAGAAACATCCTTAAGGGCAATGCTAACAAGTTTAAAGCCTTTTTTTCTCCTAGTAAATATTGGATATCTATGGCTAAGTTTATTTGTTCAGGAAAGTATCCTAGCTTCAGTTAATGACAGGAGGATGTTTGGTTTCTAGTGACAAAATAGGATGTAGGGCCATTTCCAGATTGTAAACCTGATTCTTCGCAGCCGTACAGAGTGAAAACTATCACCCTAAACCTGAATCTGGTCATCTGTTTTCAGAATCAATCCCATGCTAAAACCTTCGTTCCCAGTAATAAGCACTACAAATGACTTGGGACTAACTCTGATTCAAAAAGAATCTCAGGATCCAGAAGATAATTCAATAGTTGTAGTGTGATACTTTGTCTGCTATCTGTCTATAGCTTCTTCATCTTTGACAGGATTACTTCATTTTTACTCAATATCACCATAAAGGCTATACTGGGGAAACCTCACTAGGCAAGGACAGTTTTGATTACTATAGACCAGTGGTTCTCAACCTGTGGGGTCCCCAGGTGTTTTGGCCTACAACTCCCAGAAAACCCAGCCAGTTTCCCAGCTGTTAGGATTTCTCAGAGTTGAAGGCAAAACCTCTGGGTACCCACTGGTTGAGAACTACTGCTCTAGACCTCTTGCAGTCCCAACACAAATGGGAGCAGGGAGTGGAAAGAGAACCTGTAGTGGAAATGACAAGAAACTAACCACCTATTAAAAATGCAAGCAAAAAACATATCCTCCAGTAACCAATGGCAAAACCTCCACCTTGTTTTAGAGGGAAAATGTGAAATTCTCTGATTGCATGATTCTCCAGTAATGGGATAGCTCTGGAGGATGAATAGAGAGGACATACATTACGTGGCATATAGAACTTGTACAAATAATGATTCCATAACAATAGAAACACTTTTCTAGAGGTGGTTAGGAAAAATCAACTTTGAGCATGCCTAGATGTATCTAACTAGAGGTCAGCTGTGACCAGCAGTGCTGTGGGATTCAAAGAGGCTCGAATGGAGGGCAAAAGGAAGACACATGAAGCCAACCCTGACTGGGACCGCCTTCCACCTGGAAACCGATGCCCTCACCGTGGAACAATATGCAGATCAAGAATAGGGCTCCACAGTCACCTACGTATCCACTGCCAAGACATTACACACTTGGAAGGCCATCATACTCGGGCAATGAGGGATCGCCTAACAAGTAACAAGTATCAGCACAGAACATCAAAGTCTTCATATATTTGCTTGCTTTAGACACTCAGATAAAACTTACTCCTCCTGCTTTCAGCAACTTTCTTCTGAACTCTTCCGTTGGGTTATTGAAAGTCAGCTTTTCACAGCGAAGATGGTTTACAGGTGGGTGGCCTTCCAGATGCAGGAACAGATCATAATCAAAGCGGACTTTCTTCGGTTCTTCCTACAGATTGGGAAGAAGTCAAACATCAAGGGACAATAATATGTGCACATTTTGCCAATTTGGCACTTGTCACCTCTACTGTTCACCGTTATAATGATATCTAAGGCTCTGAACTACTAGGGACTATATATTTTACATACTGTTACTAAGACTTGTCATATCTATTAACATCAGTCAAAGGTCCCTAATTAACAAAGCCAACCATGTAGCATTAACAAGATTTTTTATTTTCGGCTCCTATTTAACTGTGCTATTATCTCCTGAGCTAAGGACAAATTTGAGACTAAAACATGTTTTTAAAGACTCGTTTATACTTTACATTATAGGAGGCCACTTTACAAATAGGAAACCAAGATGGAAATGTAATGACTTACTCAAGAATATCAAGCAATATGCTGAGAGTTCAGTGAGTCTGTACTGGCCACTATGTGGCTGCATTGACATGGGGAGAAGCCATCCCTTTCTCTGCACTAGTGATGCCATGCTGTCTATCTGAACAGCGCATTGGGTCAATTGAACCTAATCCAATTGTCTATACCGCCACAAAATCCCAGAATGCTTGAGGACTTTCCAGCAAATTCCCAAAGCAAAGCAAGAAACCCCACAGTATTCATCGAAAATATTCAGTTCGTCATAGGAATAGTTAGTAGTTTTGAGATGAGTCCATTTTTTCTTACCAGTGTAGACTCACCCCAAGTCCTGGTCTAGCATTATGGTCTAAGGGTCTGACATTGGTGTGAAGAGTAATCCTAAACATATTCATTGAGAGAGTCATTGGAATCATGCACAAAATTCCAGGTTTAATCAACAGACATGCCGATGCCTGACACTCAAGAGACTGAGGCAGTGTCCAGAAAACACCTGGATAAAGACCACAGAATATCTTAATTATTTTTTCTTCTATTTTACTGAAATATGCTATCAATTTTTTTATTGTGTCAGAAGCAAATTGAGAATATACTGTAAGTCGCTTCTGGTGTGAGAGAATCGGCCATCTACAGAGACGTTGCCCAGGGGATGCCTGGATGTGTTACCATCCTGTGGGAGGCTTCTCTCATGTCCCCGCATGGGAAACTGGGGCTGAGAGATGGGAGCTCATCCTGTCTCACGGATTCGAACCGATGACCTTCAGGTCTTCAGGTCTGCAGTTCAGCCAACACAAGGGTTTAACCCATTGCGTCACTACAGCTCCCCATCTATTGAAAATATTCTAATAAAATAGTAATTATACTTCAGCTATTTCATTAAAAATGCTACACAGCATAGCTGCTCACTACAATACAATTAAATTATATATATATATAATTTTGTGCATTAAGCAAAGTTTGTGTGCCATGACAACTGATTTTGCGGTATTTCTGAGTTTAGAAATCTGGAAAAGGGATGCTGAAACTATAGCAGGATAGCTAGGTTGAAACTAGACAAGGAACAGGATTTCTTGCTTCCATAGATGCAGTGAAGATTTAGATTACTTTGGTAACAAGTAATCCGTCCTATTCTATCAAAAGCCAAAACAGATTCCATTCACAGTGCAAAACATCCTAGAAGCTCATTAGTTTAGAAGCTGTTTGCATTACATGCGTACAAATATAATTCTGTGTTCCAAAACAATTCTGATATGCTTGCTGACAAGAATCAATTTCCTGTGAAGCTACATGAAACTGGCGGAGATTAGTGTTTGAATTGCATTGTACTGAATACAATATTAGGCACAACAAGAATAATAAACTGGAGAATAATACACTGCATGAAGCATAAGTTTAACCACACAACTCATTCACAAGCATATTTTAATATTCTCAATTGATTGGTATAATCCAAGCTAAAATACACTCTCCAGGAATTACTCCATACAGTGACATCACTAATCCTTGATAGCCTTCCAAACTCTATTACACTTCTTTTTACAATTAATAGAATTGTGAAATCATTGAGCTGGAAGAGATCACAAGGGCCATCCAGATCAACCTGTTTCTGCCATGCAGGAACACACAACCGACAGATATCCATCCAACCTCTGTTTAAACACCTCCAGAGAAGGAGATTTCATCACACCAGGAGGCAGCGTATTTCACTATCAAACACTTCTTACAATTAGAAAGTTCTTCCTAATGATTAGGTGAAATCTTTATTCCTGCAATTTGAATACATTGCTCTCTGCTGTAGTCTCTAGGACAGGAGAAGACAAGCTCCCTGCTCCCCACCAAATGACATCCACAAATGTTATAAAGCACAGCCTACTTTCTTGACAAAGCACTTTTCAACCAATATCTTTTAAAACACCCACTATTTCAGTCTTACTGGGCCTGTTACTTTGAGTCACAATCTTCCATTTCTGGCCTCAGAAGTAAAGCTTTTACTCACTCAAGTGACAGTCAACATCATACAAGCAAAAGGGAGGCTGAACCTCTCCTCCCTCCCCTTGCAGCTCAAAGTATCCCCAGATAACTAGGGAGACCTAGCTATCTGGGGATACTTTGAAAGGCTGGGGATACTGTGAAAGGCTTCTTAATAGGAAATTTCCACTGTCTTACAGGATAGATTTCACAATGTTCTCAGGATCTTCCCTTTTCCTCTGGACAAATTTTTAAGGAAATACAGAGTGAGAATGAGAAAGGAATCATACTGATATAAAACATAACCATTCTAATGCAGTATCACAATGTTTTTTTTAAATACTTTTATTTTTCATTTTTTAAAAGATTTTATTTACATACAATAACAACTTACAAAATAGACAAAACACAAAACAGTGATGTGTTTTACAAACACATAACCCCACCACCAAGGCCTGAACAAGTATAATTTCCTTCACCATGTATTTATAAATCAGCCATTAATCAAATGTCATCTCCAAAATTCCTGACCAACCAAATTCTGTTGTAGTATCACAATGTTGATATTTTTCAAATCCTTTAAAGTGAGACAAACTAAGAAGGTGAACAAATTCAGGAAAGCCCTACAAACAGGAGAAACCAAGCACAATCTATACATATATAGGTACTGCAAACATAGAAACATTCTGTGGTATCAAATACCAGTCAAATACTCTCAACATTAACATGGTGCAACTATAACAAAAACAATATTAACTTTAAAATGAATTAGTTAACTGTTGTCAGGAATCCAGTTATTTTTTCATCAAATCATAATTTAGAGATAACAGTGTTATAAAGCAATACCTATTTATGCAAGACTGCCTTTCCTTACTTATTATTACTTATTATTCCCATAATTTTTTTACTTACATTAAGTTTTATGGGTTTAGTAGAAAACAAGATGTGACAACATCTAGTTTCTATAAGGAGCATACTATCAGGGAAGCTTCATGAGAACCATCACTCCTCTTAATGTTCCCCCAGCGACAGCAAGGATATCCCCCTGGGCAGCTAAACCAAGGGTCTGCCTCAAGGGGCAAACTAAGAATGGGCAACTTGGAAGTCCCTGAACAGACTCAGAAGCAGAGTTGGCAAAAGACAACCTGGCAAAATGGTATAACCTAGAAGAATCTGCTACCTTGTGCGATTGTGGAGCAGAATAAACAACTCCGCATCTGTGTGCTTGACCACAATGCCCTGCCTCATGAACAGAGGAAAATTGTTTAAAGATACAGATAATGCAGCCGCTGTTGCCCATTTTTGGGAGTGAAATTATTTAACCTCTCATGCTTCCTCTGTTTTATCAGTATTATACTTATTTATGAAATGCTTTTAATACAAAATAAATAAAAATCAGGAAAACAAAGAAACGGACCTATTAGACATTTCATGTTGCACAAGATAACTTTCACTCACGTAACTGAATATCCCATCTTCTCTTCCCACCACCACAGTCTTTCTGGATGCCTACCCCAATCTCCCAGGATGATGCCACCATCTATTCCTCAGAACAGATTTTCTGGGAATGAGAGGATGCACATAAGGTAGAAAGGAAATTCACATTATAGTTCTGTTAGTTAAATAGATAGCAATTCAGTTTAACACAATGCAATTTCCACAACAGACCTTTGTGCCTATAAAGAGGTTTATCAAGGTATGCATCTGACTTTTACTGCAAAGGAACCTTTTACGCTGACATTTTCGGAGAATCCTCAAAGCACCAATTAAGAAGGAAATGTTAAGAACCAAGTAAGTGTGTTTTGAGACATGGAAAGAGGAAAGATGCTCACCTTGTTCTTGAAGTAAACCTCTATTGGCAATATGAAACCAGCATATCCAGATTCCTCCACTTTGTACGGTGGGTCTTTGCACACTGGAAGAGGGGGAAAGAGACAAAACAAAAAAAAAATCAGCTTTTACATTTGGAACAATAACTTTATGGAAGATTTTCGTCAACCTGCTTGAAAAACTATTAAATTTTAATGAATTTGGGGAAACATTATCAATTCCCACTGTGATTCCAATCCTTTTTTTCCCTCCTGATTCAATAAAAGACTAGAGAAATTGTTATTTAGGGTATGAGTTCAGATGTGGTATGTTATAGCTTTTCCCAGTTTTAATAATGCTTTGCTTAATAAACAATAAGTAGGAATATAATAAAATGATAACAATATAAGTCACAACTGTGACGGATACAGGTATACCACAGTTAACAAAGTAGATGTGTTTCTAGGCGTTAAATCTTTAACAGAAACTTTGGTACCAGATGCAGAACATTGAAAGAATAATGATATGTCCTTTTCCACAAACACACAAATAGCTCAGAAAGTTTCAGCAAACATTTCATCCATAGTTGAACATGTGAAATAAAACAACAATCTCAAGTAATCCTTGCATAAAAAACAGAAACATTTTCAACTTCCTAGAGACCACTGAAAGCATCTTCCAAAATGAATCCGAGGACAACTTTTCCTTTCACTTGCCTCTATCTTCCTTCCTTTTTCCATTTGTGGAGTTTATTTCCAAAAGGTATCAAATCTCTCCCGCCCCAAATTGAAAAATTAGTTATAGGTGGCAGCACATTGTTGGCTAGTAGATTATTATGTATAGATCAAAATATGAAAATATAGCCAATCACTTTGATACAGGGATTGGAACATTTTATTTAATAGTAAAACAATGCATATTCTCAGAACTTTTCTTTATTCCTGTATAGTTTGTTCAGATGGATTCGGTACCTTTTGAAAACAAGCTCACATTTATGTGGCCAAACTTACTGATTTGTGTGCCACCCTCAAGCTTTATTGCTTTGTTTCCAACAGACATGTTGCTGCAGTGTGACATGTTGTTGCAACTTGACAACCCACAAATTTGCTGCTGCAACCTGAGAAACACTCCAGTCCTCCTTTACCATGCTATCCTAATGCTGATGGTGCTAAAAAAGTCTTGTAGTGAGATGGAGAATGAAGAAGGGGTTGAACAGGCATAAAAATACTTTGATAAAAGGAATTTTGTTAGTCTTTAATCACTGAGCTATGTCTCTATAATGCCAGCCAAAGTTGCTGTAGATCATAGGTTTCCAACCTGTGATCCGTGGACCACCAGTGGTCCCCAAGAACGAAAATATGGTCAACAGACTCATCATTACAACACTGTTGCCTCGAAACCACGCAGCAAATAGTGACTAGTCTCGTAAAACTCTCTTATACTGCCAAGGCAACTGTGATGTCGGGAGGGGAGAGGCTAACTACGCATGAAAGATTACCACTACCACATCAGCTTTAGATTATTAAATGCGGTTTCCTGTGGGCGAGCAAGTGGCAACTACTGGATGGCATATGTTCTGTATCAGAAACTAGAGCTGATGTAGTCTATCCAATGCAATTTTCTGAAACAACACCCCAAATAACCAAATCTAAAGTTGACCAAGAACTGATTTGTAGTACTTTGGTACTAAAGTTGGAGAGTGGTCCCTGTTCAAGTGGTCTCTGGTCAAAAAAACATTGGGAACCACTGATGTAGATAGTTTTGGACAACTTCTAACTAGAAAAAATGTTTCTGATTCACTAAAACTAGAAGCTTTTCTTTCTTTTTCTTTTATTGCCTTATAATTTAATTGATCTGGGTAGTTCCTCTAATTACAACTATCTACTCTGTTGACTTCAGATCTGCTACAACCAATTCATTAATTATTGGCCAACCTTCTGATAAAGAACTTGCCTATACTAAAACAAATATGCCTATAAAATATTTCAAGATATTCCAGGCAAACATTTTAAAAGAAAGCTTAACAACATAATCATAAATCCCAGTGAATGGACTTTATTAAACTTTTTGTGTCAAATACTCCAGTTCAATGGTTTTTACAGATCATATGAAGTTCACATGGGAAATTTTCTTTTTGTGGACAAAATTAACATAAGTTTGCTAAACTGGATGTCTTCTTATTTGGGTTAGAGAACATTTCCCCCTATTTTTTTCTGATTCGAATTTCCCAAACCTCCAACAGTACCTACAGTCTGGTAGAATAATTTTATTGAAAGAAAAAAGAGGGGTGCATGCAATGGACAAACTATGCCCTCATTTTTCTTGCTTTTCCCCCCTTCTCCCATATTATGGTGCAAATCCTTTTTAAGGGAATTTGTCTCAGTGGATGGCTGTCCAAAACATTTAATGCACTAGAGTAAATGCCCTCTAAAGATTAACTGCATTTCCAACCCAAATATAATGACATTTATAAATAGTAAGGGAAAGTAAAGGTTTCCCCTAACATTAAGTCTGGTCTCTGACGTGTGGTGCTCATCTCCATTTATAAGCTGAAGAGCTGGCATTGTCCGTAGACACTTCCAAAGTCATGTGGCCGGCATGACTGCATGGAGCGCTGCTACCTTTCCGCAGAAGCTATATTTATTGATCTACTCACATTTGCATGTTTTCGAACTGCTAGTTTGGCAGAAGCTGGGGCTAACAGCGGGAGCTCACCCATCGCCCCAGAATCAAACTACCGACCTTTCAGTCAGCAAGTTCAGCAGCTCAATGGTTTAACCCACTGTGCCACCTATAAACAGTACTGTGCATAATACTGAACTAGTGTAGTGGATTTAATTTTGGACTAGGACATTGGAAGACTAGGACTCAAATCTCTGTTTGGCCTTAGAAACCGACTGGGTAACCTTGGGAAAGTCACATTCTCTCAGTCCCTCTGTTCAAATTCTCTAAGGAAACCATCTGAAAGGCTCACCTTGGGGTTGCCATAAATCAGAAATGGTTCGAATACATAATATATAATTTATACTGCCTGCATCACATGCAATGCCTCATAATCAATATTGAATGTTAATAAAATAAGAAGATTTTGCTCAGTGGATGGAATATGTTTTTTGCAGAGGTTTATAACTCAGCTCAATTCACACAAGTGCTCTTGGATTTAAACTGAATCCATTTATCACATTAGTTGCACAAACAACTTGCAAATTTGAAGAGGTTTATAAATGATGTGCTATAAATATACACTCAATTATGTAGGTGAAACCTGACATTGTAACACTCAGTATCGTCCCATTGCTTCAAAACAAAACCCCAACACACAACATTATGACAGAAAGCAGATTCAAATTTGCTTAGACATGGAATCAAATGCTAGAATGACACATAATAGATCCCTCGTTCTCACAGCCATACAAATATAGCTCTATTTTTGACAACTGAGGTTATTAAAGAAGCAAATTTGTAATGAAATAAACAAAGATGTGACAGAATGGCTAGGTGGAATGGCTCCCAGTAGCTCAGATTAGGTTTTGCCTTTTTTATTTTACATGTGCTGTTCCAGGAAACTGCTAGTAGTTAGCTATTTTTGAAATGAGAGCTTTGAAAATTCACTCTTTGGGCAACTCCCTGAACCTGAAGCCAGCACAACCAGACCATGTTGGCTGGGAAATTCTGGGGGCTTTAATCCAAACAAAACAAATTTTCAGGTTTTGGAAGCTGTCTTGGGGTCTCACTCTGGGAGAAAGGCAGCACACAAATCTCTCTCAACCTCTCTCTCATTAAAAACGGATGGTTGCTTAAACGGACCCCGAGATTGCAAAGGCCGTTTATTTTTCTCTTGGCAATTCAACACACAAGATTTTGGAAACAGAGCAAATCCACATCAGGGGGAATGTATGCCTCTATGCATTAAAAATTACTTATTACTACAGCAGAAAAGTCTACAGGAAGAAATCAAAACTTAGTATCCTCTAAACCGTTAGAAAAGTTCATGTAAGCATTTTGATAGATCAGCCCAGGGTTTTCGGAATAGCCTGACTATTGAAAAGAAAGAAAAAAAGTTATCAAGAATAAACACACTTCTGACATAAATATTCTTCCATCTATTAAATGAAAATGGCATGTTGCTGCTACATGCCTTCAGGTTGACTCTGGCAAATGTCTCACAGGGTTTTCTTGGAAGGACTTACTCAAAGAAAACTTGCCACTGCTGCCTGGACTGAAAGAGTGTGACTTGCTCACAAATCTTGGCTGAACAGCAATTCAGACCCTGGTCTCCTGTAGTTCAACACTCACAGCAGTGTACCACATGGGACATAAAAAACCAAACCCAACTCAATAAAAAATGTTAAAGTGCCCCAAATGCCTTTATTTTTTCCAACCAAGAGTGAGCACTCCACAGATTATTATTATTATTATTATTATTATTAATAATAATAATAATAATAATAATAATAATAATAATAATCTTTATTTATACCTGCCACAATCGGGGCGGCTTACATGAGGCCAAGCCCGGTAGTGCAATTACAATAACATAGCAATAACATAACATAACAATGAATCTGCATAGTCATTATAGCAAAGTTTTCCAAACTGTGTGTCGTGATACAGTGCATCAGTGTCACACAAATGTAACAAAAAACTCTGAGCCTATGTAAAATAAGCAAGAAATCATTTTTCCCCAAAATATAAATGAAAGGGTTTCATAGATACATTTTATCCACATACATTATACATTATTACAATTTATGAATTATAATATTATCCTCTGTTCAGATATCAGCCAGCAAGCCAGCGCCTTAAATAAAGAAATAGCTTCCTAAGATCTACAGAGATACTCGCAGGAACACCTCAGAAAGCAAGAGTCCAAAAGTGGCAGGTTAAAACCCAATCCATAACTGAGACCGAATGAAAGTCTCTCCTGGTCACACAGAAGACTGGGGGACTCAGAAGACGCTGAACGGGCTGCGCTTTGGCACCATGAGATGCAGAGCCAACCTTAAGCAATGGGGACATAAAGTGGAGTCCATGACATGTGAGCGTGGAGAAGAGCAAACCACAAACCATTTACTACAATGCAGTCTGAGCCCTCCCATATCCACA